ATGTCATCCTTCTCACTAGTGTCCTAATTTTGGAAAACACAGATACAGATATTAATCTCCACATATAGTATCTTGCTGGTATTTTTTGAGTGAGTTGTATATAAATATACTTCAAACTTTTTATTTAAATACAAATATAACACCAACATAAACAAAAGATTTTTGGAAGCCATGTTTGAGAAAGTGGGGAGGATCTGAGAGAATTTTGGGAGAGGAAAAATAATAGGATCAAAATATAGTGTATAAAGTTTTTAAAGGATCAAAAAATGAAAGAATGTAAAAGGGTCTTATCCTCAAATGTGGAAGAAGGGGAAAGAAGTTGGAACAGAGGAGATGAGTAAGACTTGTCCCCTACATGTCAAGATGTGAATGAAAGTGACACAATACAAGAGTAAGAAGATAATAATGGGATGCTGGTGAAACATCTTAGGTAAAGTGAGTCCCTAGCATGAGTGAGGCGCTAGATTCAACCTCCACTACTGTTAAAAACATTGTTGTTTTTTGAGACAAGGATTCTCTGTGGAAAAAAAGTAAAGAAAAGAAAAAGTAGGAACAAGAAAATAGTGGATTTCAGTGATACACAAATATATATATATATCATCTTTAATTTCTATAGTTGTACAGCTTTATAATCTACATATTAGTAATAACTGAACATTAGTAGAGTAGGGCAATGTGAAATTTTTTTATTCATAGAGCCTAAAGGATCTTGGAGAAGTTAGGAGAAGATAAAAATGTGGTCAAAATGTATTGTCTGAAAAATTGTTCAATAAAATATAACTTATAGGTTTCGTTGAAGAAAGTAAGCTCTTCTGTACATGAATAAAACCATAAACAAAACCTTTTTAAGTGTGTGAAATCTGATACAAAACACACACACACACAAGTAGTATTAAAAGAGGCAAAAATCAAAGCAGATCTGAGAGAGAGAGAGAGAGAGAGAGAGAGAGAGAGAGAGAGAGAGAGAGAAAGAGAGAGAGGATTATGTGGTTTCCCATTCATCTCTTTGAGGAAAACATCCCTGTAGAAGGGCCATTGCTCTGTGAAGAATGCCTAATAATAATATTTAAAACATCTAATTTATCTTACATTCTAGCCTTAATTTGCATAGTTCATTGTCATATCTACTTACTCATCTTGGAAAAAAATGAGGCAGTGTCACAAAATTCAAATTAACAGATAATTTATAAATACATTATTCTGCACTAGAAATGAAAGCTACCGTACCCCCTTTAAAGTACTATTATTAATTCTCTGAAACTTTCATAGAATGTGTTTTGATTTGAGAATTTTGTAGAATTAATCTCATATTCACCCCAACTCCTCCTCTTTTTATTCCCAGATGTAACCTAATCCCCATCACCCTCCCCAGATTCTTGTCCTTTTTAAAACAACCCATCAACTCCAATTTGTGATGTATACTTCTGGGCATGTAGACAACTTACCAGGGTAACACCATTAAAGAAAACTGACTCTTTATACCCTAGAAGGCATCAACTATCTATAGTTCCTCAGTTAGGGAAGAGTAAGGGCTCATAAACCTGTTTCCTTTTCCATGCTAAAATGTTGACTGGCTTGATATTGGACAAGTATCATTGGGCAGCTATAGCTGCTATAAATTCATGAGTTTGATGGTCTTGTCATGTATAGAAGACACTGTTTTACTCTGGCCTCCCAAACCTCTGGAGGTTTTAGAACCTCTCTGTTTCCTCTTCCAAGATGGCACTGGGGCCTTGGAGAAGAATGTGATAAAGATGTCCCATTTGTGGTTGAGTCTCCCACAATCTTTTGATCTCTGTATTTTGACCAGTTGTGAGATTCTGCATTTGCCAGCTTCCACTGCAAAAACAAAAGCTTTCTCTGGGTAGACCAGAGAGCAGCACTAGTCTATGGATAGTGATTAATATTATTTAATGCATTCCTTATGTTTATGATCTAGTCCTGGGCTATATTGTCTTGCTTGTTTTTCTAGAAAAGTCTTTTATGCCGACCAGTGATTTGTTCTCACTTCCTTAGTATTTTGCTTTCAAACATCTGTAGTCTGTGGCCCCCTGTCAGAAAATTAATATCTAGTAAGAGAAATAACTAGCAGGAAATGGTAATAATGAATGTCCTACAAAACATGCAAAGGAATGCTGTGTTCCTGGAGACTGACATCTCCCATGCCTGGTATGTACTTCTCTGTTTTACTGCATCTGCATGTTTCGCTGGTTCAGTGTTCTCAATCAAGCTTAGCAGTAGAAATGGCTTCACAGCTAATATGCTTGTGTGATGCTGCTGATGAAATGGGAGTAAAGCTGTTAGGATGAATTCTTAGGAGAGCTCTTCTTCCTTTATGTCCTTCCTCTTAGCTTCTGGAACTTGAACAAGATGGTTGGGATTATACACAACTATTTTGGATGAAATGTCAATCAAATCCGAGAACTTAAAAATACCCACAAAATAAAATAAGAAGCCCAATTGAATTGTGGCCATATTATTTTAAAAAATAAACAGTGACATTGCATAACTAGACTATTAGCACAGGGTAACAAGGAGTCGTGATTCTGTCATAGGACTCTGACCTGACCCTAAATGATATGCTGCTATTAAAATTCAGGGAGAAGAAATAAACACTTTTATAGGGTATTTTGTAGCATCTGAGCTAAATCGAAAAGATTAAATAGTATTTTATAATAGGGTAAATGCTACAGAACTCCATGAAGAAGATTTTAAAGATCAAGTTGTATTTGCAGTATATCAAATTTAATGGAAACTGCACAGCAGCTTCCTGCTGAGTTTGGCACACATAGCCTCCATTAAAAGGCCCTGAGCCTTCATGCATAAATCTTCCTATCAGAGACATAGGACAAAACCAGTATCTTCATTATGGCCTTCCCTACATTTTGTACACTTTAATAAGTTTAGTATCGTCAAGTACCTAATCTTTCATAGCCAATCCTATATCACATGCTATTCAAAGATTTTTGTTTTATATGTTTTATATTTCACTAAAGATGATAAACTTCCTGAGATCAGACACAGTCTTTAAGCCCCTAGAGATCTTTATGAGTTTTGACAGCACACAGGCTTACTCATGAAAATCTCTGAAGAGGATGGATAAAGGTGCTTACTTCCAAATCTGAGGACATAAATTTGATCCCTGGGACCCATATGATGGAAGTACAGAATAGATTCCTGCAAGTTGTCCTCTGACCTCCATACCTACACCATAGCAACACACACACACACATACACACACACACACACAAGTAATGATTTTTTGAAAAATAGATAATATGTTGCATTCCTCAAAAATGCTTTTATAAAAAGGTCTAATCTAGCTTAGTCACTGGTAGGTATTAGAATAGAAAATAGATTAGTGATTGTTAGCAATTGCATAGTGTCTATAAGTTAAGAGGTGACTTCATATCCATGAGCTTAAAGACTTTTGAAATAACTTAATGCTTTTATCACTAAGCTGTTTTTACTAGTTAATATATTTTGCAAATCCCACTGAAGAAGTATACTAAGCATGCAAATAATGACAATACAAGTGATAACTGCTAAAGCAGGACCAGAAGAGGTTTCAGGAGGCCTAGTGATGCCCAAAAACAGCCACATTTTACAGGGGTATATCTGCTGAGAGCCTCAAAGAGGAAGTCGTCACTGAGTAGAGTTATAAAGGATGAAAGTTGCTGGAATTAGGAAGAAAAGTTGGTACAGACAGACCAAACAGAATGTGTAAGGCATATAAAGCTAAGAGAATATGATGGCTCAAAATATAATCTGGTGTAGGTGCAGGGCATAGAAAGTATGAAGCCTGGAAAACATCGAACTGGAGAATTTCCTAGAGGCTAAAATCATAAACTTCCTGGTAGCACCAACATTTGTATGTGCTCTGCTCGGTGGGTAAAGAAAAGTTACTAAATAATTCTAAGCAAAGGGTTTCCATGTTCAGATTTTACAAACTGACAACAATTTTGAATTCAGAGTCACAAATTTTCCAGGAAAAAAAAACAAACATAATAAGTGTATAAGACCCAGAGCAGAGTTGAACTGCTAACCACTGAGGCCTATAATTCTGCAGTTAATTTTCCCCTTTTATTAAACAGAGACACTTTTCATACAATATAATCTGAATAGTTTCCCCTGTCTCTATTCCTCCCAGTTCCTCACCACCTCCTCTTTCATCCAGATCCATTCCTTTTCTTTTTCCCATTAGAAAAGAGCAGGCTTCAAGGAGATAACAACAAAACATAACATAATAAAATATAACATAAAATGAAAGAAGCATTATGAATTTGGAGTACAGTTAGGAATTGTGCTGGTTTAGAAAAGTGGAAGTATCCCTGATGATGATTTTGATGACTACCTTATATACCATCCTAGGACCTCCATTCAGTGACTGATGGAAGCAGAGGAAGACACTCACAGCTAAACGCTGAACTGAACTCCTGGAACCCAGTACAGAGAGGGAGGAGTAATGAGCAAAGGGGTCAAGACTGGGCTGGTGAAACCCAGAGAAACAGCTGACCTGAACAAGGGGGAGATCTTGGACCCCAGACTGATGGCTGGAAATCCAGCATAGGACTGACAGACCCCTGAATGTGGGTGTCAGTGAGGAGGCCTAGGAAATCTATGGGGCTCTGGGTAGTAGATATATATCCCTGGCACACAAATGGACTTTGGGCACCCATCCCACAATGAGGGGTGCTCTCTCAGCCTGGACTCTTGGGGGAGGACCTGGGACCTCCCCAGAAGGAAATGATAGGCTGTAGAGATCCCCCATGGAAGGTCTTACCCTCCCTGGGGAACAGAATGGGGGTTGGGGGGTGGCTGGAGGGGAGAGCAGACATAGAGGAGAGGAAGAGGGATCAGGGACTGACATGGGAAGCAAGCTTGTTTCTAATTTAAATATATCATTAAAAAGTGTTTCAAAAAACGTGTCATATGAAAGAAGAAAAATAAGGAAAAGTGGAAGTAGCAGGTTATCTTCTGGGTTCCATGATCTTACCTGCCACAGGTAGTTAACAAAATTGATAGTGCCATTAATGAATCCCTCCTTGTCTTAAGCCCAATTAGGTGTCTGTTGCTCTACCAAGGGTATAAATGTCACTACTGCACCTGTCAGAATAGTTTGCCTTACATCCATTGTTGTGGCATTACAACAGCATAGGACTATTGCTTGTTTTACTCCATTAGCATATTTCATGTTACCATCCAAGACGATGAGAGCTAGTTGTCAGTGAGGAAGCTTCCAAGTCAGGTCCAGATCAATTCTTCCAGATCCTGTGTCCATAAATGTGTGGTGTCTTCAGCAAAAGGGTATTGCATCATTTTTTGGAAGCTATCCAGAGCAATAACAGTAGATCTCCTGGACTCTCCTCTCCAGAAGGTTTTCCATGCCTGGACTGGGGTTTCTGTTAGATAAGAGTTTATAGCTTGAGGAAGGGAGCATTGTCACTGTAACTGAATAACTTCAAATGTTTATGTGTTTGTGTGTGTGAGCAATGCATTATGTACACTGTTAAGTAGCCATAAAATAATTCCCTATTTCTCTTTCAAACGCTGGCATTTTTGTTAGATAGTCTTTAGCTTGGGGAAGAAAGCATGAAATAAGTTCAAATATCTAAATACACACACACACTATATATATATATATATATGTATATATAGAGAGAGAGATCAAAAATGTATGCATATATGTCATATATAATATGCAATTTTAAGTATCCATAAAGTCATTCCCTATGGCTCTTTCGAGCATCCTTAGTGTTATTTATTCTTCCTCCCTCTCTCCCCATCTCTAGTGTCATCCTCCCTCTCTCCCCAGGGAAGTGTCCCTGTAGGAGAAACTGTAGTCAGCCTGCCCAAGCTGAAGTCACCCTGCCCAAGTGCCCAGGCCAGCCTGCATGAGCATGCCAGGCAGGCATTTCCTCCCTGAGCCAAGCCTGACTCTACACCCAGAGACTGCTGATGAAGAGACACCAATGAGGAAAGTACAACACAGTAGAGTCAGCCACCTGAGCCAATGGGAACTTGGGAGAGGGTATAAAGGCAGGCCAACCTTCCTTAATAAATGAGTCTGCAGCATGCTCTGCTACTCACTGACACCCAGTGCCTGAGTCTTGGTGTTTGGTGCTGTGTATTCTCACCCTCTCCCCCAAGTGGTGTCCAAGCAAGGTGACCTGCAACATCTCCTCAACTCATTTTTCTATTCAACTTTTTTAAAATTAGAAATAAGTTTGCTTCACATGTCAATCTCAGCTCCCTCTCCCTCCCCTCCTCCACTGCTCCCTACTAACCCTCCTAATCCCCACCCTGCTTCACACGGAGAGTAAGGCTCTCTATGAGGGATCTCCAAAGTCTGTTATATCATCCAGGGTAGGGGCTAATCCCTCCCCCATGTGTCCAGGCTGAGAGAACATCCCTCCATGTGGAATGGGCTCCCAAATTCCATTTATATGCCAGGGATAAATACTGATCTATTACTCAAGGCCCCATAGATTGGTAAGGCCTCCTTACTGACATCCAAATTTAGGGGGTCTGGATTAAGGCCCATGCTAGTCTCTCAGTCATCTGTCTGGGGACCATGAGCTCCCCCTTGTTCAGGTCAGCTGTTTCTGTGGGATTCACCAATCTGTTCTTGACCCCTTTGCTTATAACTTCTCCCTCTCTGCAACTGGGTTTCAGAAGGTTAGTTCACTGTTTAGCTGTGGGTTTCTATCTCTGCTTCCATCAGCCACTGGATGAAGGCTATAGGATGACACATAAGGTAGTCATCAATCTCAATATCGGGGAAAGGTATTTAAGGTAACCACTCCACTATTGCTTAGATTGTCAGTTGGTGTCATCCTTGTAGATCTCTGAAAATCTCACTAGTACCAGATCTCTCCTCAAACCCATCATGACTCCCTCTGTTATGGTATCTCTTTTCTTGCTTGCATCTATTCTTCCCCTGACTCAATCTTCTTCCTCCCTCCTGTACTCCTTTCCCCTCCTCTTCTCCCCCTCCCTTTCTTCTAGCTCCCTCTCCCCTCCCCTCATGATCCCAATCTACTCAGGAGATCCTGTCCCATTCCCCTTCTCCAGGGTACCATGTATCTCTCTTTGGGTCCTCCCTGTTTCCCAGACTCACTGGCGGTGGGATTGTAGGCTGACATCCCCTGCTCCTTGTCTAAACTCCATATATGAGTGAGTACATACCATGTTTGTCTTTTTGTGACTGGGTTACCTCACTCAGGATGGCTTCTTCTAGTGTCATCTATTTGCATGCAAATTTCAAGATTCCATTTTTTTCTGCTGAGTAGTACTCCATTGTGTAAATGTACCACATTTTCTCTATCCACTCTTCAGTTGAGAGGAATCTAGGTTACTTCCAGAACACCCCTCCACTACTGATGGGAGTGCAAACTCATATAGCCACTTTGGAAATCAGTATGGAGATTACTCAGGAAAATGGCAATCAGGTCTACCACAAGATCTAGCGATACCACTCTTAGGCATATACCCAAAAGATGCTTATTCATACAACAAGGACATCTGTTCCACTATGTTCATAGCAGCATTATTTGTGATAGACTATTCAACTTTTGTAGCAACTGTATGCTATTATTTTTGCAAAAAATTTATATATGTATGTGTAGTAATATCTTACTTGTACAAATAAAGCCTGTCTGAAGATCAGAGAATGGGGCTTGATGCTAGCTCACCATAGAGGTCTGGAGGTCTGTACAGATGTATAGGAAGTGAGATGGTTAGGCAGAGAGAGGATATAAGCAGGAAGAAACAGGAACTCACTCTCTTGTCTGCTGAGACACCAAGGAAGTAAAAGGTAATTTTGGCTTACTCTGTCTTATCTCTGATCCCTCAGCATTTTCCTCTATGTCTCACTCTGCATTTTTATTATTTATATCAATTAAGAACTCCATTCACATTTTGGCATCCAGCATGGGGCACAAACCCAGGACTCTGTGATTAAAAGTCCCATGCTCTACCTACTGAGGTAGCTGGTCTAGCCAGTCTGTGCCCAGCCATCTCACTTCATGTCTGTCTGTTCAGACTACCAGACCTCTATGGTTAGCTGGTGGCAAGCTCCATTTTCTGATCTGCAGACAGGCTTTATTCGTACAAGCAAGATATCACCACATGTATGGCATGAAAGTAAAAGCAAACTGTCTGGAGGATCAAAAAGAAAGAAAGGAAAAAAGAAGGTACTAAAATATATAGAAAGAATGTGCTCAATGATGTGTGTGTGTGTGTGTGTGTGTGTGTATTATATCTGATGTATATTATATTGGGATAGACATGTCTGAATACACATAATGAAAATTTTTATTAGTTTTTAAAAATAACAAATACAAAAGCTGCCAATTTAAGCCTCTAGGGTGAAAATTTTTCCTGATGTGTTAAGAATACAACTAAGTACAGTAGCAATGAAATAAACATTTTTAGTGTGTTAAAACAATGTATCTCTACCCATAGTGAAAAAAGAAAGGGAAAACACAAGATTCAAAAACTACCAATACTTGTTAAGAAAACTAGGTTTTAATCTTCTCATTGGCTTATTATTCTCATCCTATTACAGTAAAACAAAATTAGCTATTAAATTTTCAAACACAAGTTTTGACTGTTCTTTTCTTCATTGAAAAAAGGTGGTATTTATACCTATTCTAAAGGTCATACAAAAACCTCAATATTTATCACATATAAAAGGCATCTCATGTTTTTTAAAATACAGTAGTGTTTGAACATTTATTATGATCTTTTCCCAATAAAAACTTAATGCATCATAATAGTGTATTCATAACTGAGGGATATGAGTAAGACATCATGGCAAGCTTGAGGTTTGCTGTTTCCTTTCCAACAGTCTCTATAGTGTAGTGCTAATGTACTTTTTGGGAAAATGCCAGTGATGATATTATGATGTTTTATCCATGTTTCTTAGGAATATAGTAGGAATATATCTTTATCCCTTATAAAAGTAGGTTTGTATCACTCTTAGAGTGAAATAATGAAGTTTTTGTGAAATCTAACTAAACACTTCAGCTCTCCTTTTAGGACACTAAGATGACAGGTTGCTGAACCTTATAGCCTGTTTCCTTAATAGCAAAATATAGGGGCTAGTAAACGCCTTTGTTAATTTCATTAAATGATATATTATTCATTGAATACGTAACAGTGCCTGGCACAGGCTAAGTGCACACTACATACAATGACTCCTTTCATAAATGTGTACGTTATTAGAAAAATATTTTTCAAATGTGATCTCTCTGTTGCAGAGATACATATTTGCACAAAGCTCTTGTCATTCATTATTGTAGTTTTATGGGTTAATTTTTAGAGAAGTGACAAGTCATATGCACTAAGAAATCTGCTATTCCCAAAACTCTGCCTTGATTTTTGTGCAGATTTGTAACTTTAAACTTCAAAACATGCTAAAGATTCTCTTAGTTACAGCCCAAAAATTATCTTATTTGTAGTGCAATGAGGTATAAACAAATTATTTCACAAGAAAAGGTAACTCTACCCTAGGTTACATGAATTTTTAAAGATTCATAAGAACATAAAACCACAAGATATTAAATCAGAAAGAGAAAAATATTTGTAACAACCTACGGAAAATAATATTGGCATTGTCATGAAAAGACTACAAATGCAGTGTTTATAAGATGTGAAGAAATATGCAACAATCTCAGATGCTGCCTGTAGGCTGTGGGAAGCTAGACAGAGTGACACAGATTTTCAAAAATATACAAATACTGTTAAAAGAAATTAAAATTGTACAGTTGTAGGAGACAGTTTTCAAGCATATTTAGGACATTTAGAAAATTAATATACACTATTGAAAAGTCTGTGTCAACAGCCCCCAAAGACTGGAATCACATAAGAAACAGAAAAAGGCAGAACTTTGCTCAGGAGCTTGGCCACTGCCTTGCAGCTCTAGACAAGAAACACCAACACTACAACATAGTGTTAAGGTAAATTGTTTTGTTGTGTGAGGATGTTGTGTGGTTTATGGAAGCTCTTTAATAGACACAAAGCAAATGAGGACAGTTCTCTGACTAAGATCCACCTATTCTAGTGACCACTCAGAAACTGAAACCTAGAAAACACTTTTATCCTGAGAAATGGAGAACCCCAACTGTTCACAAAAAGTAACTGGATAAAGATAAGCAGCCCCTTCATCGGACAAGAAAGCAATTCATATTCCATTGCTGCTATTTAATTAACCTTCTGTTAATTCAGCTCATTCAAATTATATATTAATTAATATACTGAGGTTTTCCAAATACTTGATGCTTTCTTACTAGTTAGCTAACCACTGTCAATCAATTGCTCCTGTTAGTGATGTAGCTCAGGGTAGAACACCCACTCTGCAAAGCTGAGCTGTAAGTTCAACTCTTATTACTGAAGCAAGTGGCAAGAAGAGGCAGAAGGATTACTGACACACAGAATCAGAGCCCTTAAATATTTTTACACGAGTCCACCCACCTGGCAATTTCTCTTAAACTCAAAAACTGTTTAAAATATTTAGAAAGAAGTGACTATAGTGTAAAAGGAATAAAGAACATTATCAATTCAGATATAATTAATAAGAACCATTACATATAAAGAATTTGGGGGAAAAGAGTCATCCACAAAAATATAAGAAATTTCCAAGAAACATTAAAGTATACATTACCTCATGAATATTCATTACATCATGAATAATTTTATTTGTTTGTTTTGTTGACTTCAAATTGCATCTTTTACTTTTGGGAGTTCATTTGTCTTTAAAGAGTTGCTATAAAAGAGATGAAATACAATCGGAAGAGTACTAAGGGTTTGCTTTTGTTTTGTTTTGTTTTTTCTTTAAAATCGAACTGTCTAGGGAAGGTAGTGAAATGCTATGTGTGTTCATGATGCTTTCATCGTTTGCACCCAGACGTGACTTTCACTCATAATAAGTAACATGTACTGCTGGCTGAATGATAGATTTCCTGTGTTAATAGTGTAAATCACTATAGCTAAGTCACCCTACTCTATTGGTTTTAAGAGTTCCATGTTTCTTATAAGTATTGCTTAACTTTGAAGCCCAGAACACAACAGCTCTTAGCTCCTGAGTTCAAATACAGGGAAACCCATGAAATCTTCTATTTGTTTATATGCACTTCTGTTGAAATTTCCTAAGTGTTTTTTTTTTCCTGTTTCGAGAAGAAAGTGTCTGGCTTCTTTTGTTTGACTGAATCCAGAGGCTTGTGCCCCCATGAGCTCCTGGCTCCTCTGATGAAGTTTAAAATAAATATTCGGGTTAATATTTTGCCCAGGCAATTATGAAATCTACTTTTTAAGTCTACACAAATAATATACAAATACAGCTACTGGGAGGGCTCGCATGTGAAACAAGACAAGACCTTAGTTGCATCGGGTTGCCCTGTATGCTGTTTTGAATGAGTTACTTACAAATTAGCTTATTTCATTCACACTTCTTCACGGCTAACGTGACAGGCAATTTTAAAAGACAGGAAATGTGTGACTCTATTTTCAACTTTTTAAAGTATTTTGCAATTGAAAGCATTCATCCTTTGTGTCTTGGCAGCTGTTTTGACTACATTTTTCTTCACAGTCCCATATACTTGTCTCTTGCCTATGACTTTCATGAATAACACTAATGGCCAGATTGGCCCTCGTAGTGTCCCTGAGGCAGAGTGACATCTTTGATCCATCTTACAGGCAAGTCAGGAGACAGCAAGAAGAAGCAGACACCCTTTACCCTGGGTGAGCCCCTAACTCTGGCCTCACTGGCCTCTGGGTAGGCACCTACAGATGCTTCTTACCCTACTTCTTCCTCTGTACTCTCTCCTACAGTCTGAACTCACCAGAAGTAAACACTGGGATCTAATACTCCTGGAATTTTTTCTTTATACAATACCGAGGTTTTTTTAAAATACTCTAAAGGTCAGTAACAGTTTAGAATTCAGTCTTGTACTATGACCTGTGTTTCCTCTACCCTTGACTTTTATCTGATCCTACAACATCTGAGAATGGGAACCATCATGGGATCCTGTCAAGAGCTCTGCACAGGTTGTAGCTGGTGTTCCTCTTCCTACACAAGACAGCAGCAATGAAACTGGAAGCTTCTCTTCCTGGTTTCCAAAACTACTCTTTCTGGAAAGCACTGAGAAAATCAGAATTCACAGAGGAAAACCCACATGTGTCTGTCATTGTTGATGGTTACCTTCAGACTCTAGAGTGGCTTCATCATCATTTCGTGGGGCTATGCTGTTATGATTCCTCATTCCCTTTCTCAGCTGCTTTAATTAGACACTTCTTTCACCTTCACTAGGAAAAGGAGATACAAATATTCACCAGGAAGTATACCTCTTACTAGTTTGGTAAACGTTTTACACCTCTCATTAGTTTGACAGGTAAAACACATTTTCTACCACCCCCCTCAGTTCTTTTTTAATCTTTCTCTTATCTCTTTATGTTAAACTAATCTTCAGTCCTTGTGGAATTTGCTTTATTCTCAAACTGAAAAAATTGCAGAATAATTAAGAAATTGTGCTTTGTTTCATTGTCAAGGGGCAGAAGTTTTATACTGAAAAATACACTGAGTAATAAAATTCTGAGTAAATTCTGAATAAATCATTAATAAACTTACAAAATGATTTACTTACTTAAACTACCTTAAATATAAAGAACTCAGTAACTTGTTTGCATCAATGGCTGTAAGAACTGAGACTCTTGAGAAGGGAGATGGGAGAGGCTTCTTTCATATGAAAAAGAGCCTCGTTTTGTGAGTTCTGCCTTCAACAAACATGAAGGTTCTTTTAAAGTGCATGTTTATTCATGGGGCTTGGTTTAATTGCTGATTCCGTGTTGGTTTTTTTTAGGTACTTAAAATTCACTAACGATTTATGTAATGAAGTATTATATAGGTTAATTAATGAATATCTAATGCACATTAAGTTATTACAAATGCTGTTATTTGTCTGGTTGCTTTGTTTCTGAATCCAGTGAACCTTATTCTACATTCACTACTTCATTTGGCTTATAGGAATCAGAGTCTTTTTTTTCCAGCTCCTTGGTAACTTTGTGTTTAACAAGAAAAAAACACATATATAAATTAAATGATGGTTCTGTCATTTTTCATGTCCTCTGATTCTACCTTACACACTTGAAACTCAATGCTGTAAATTTTAAAATGAAAATTCAAATTGACTGACCCCTCATTTCCCAAGTTTTCTATTGTGCTCCCATCTCTACTCTGACAGGAAAGAGGTGTGGTGGAACTAACATTGTCCCTGCCTGGGGGACACTGGTAGACAGCACACAGCACCATGATGAAGATACATAGTCGTGACCATGGAAGCTTAACCAATGGTCAACTTCTGGAATTAGGAAAGGTATCAAATTAAACACTCATTATAGACCAAATGACCCTATCTCAGAGCAGACTGAAAAGTACTAACTTGCCATTCTAAAAAATAATAGTAATATTGTCTTTCTGAGTCTGGGTTACCTCATTCAGAATGACATTTTCTAGTTCCATCCATTTGTCTGCAAATTTCATGATGTCATTGTTTTTTTTTTTTACCACTAATACTCCATTGTGTAAATGTATCACACTTTCTTTATCCATTGTTTGGTTGGGTGAGGAGCATCTAGGTTGTTTCCAGGTTCTGGCTATTACAAATAATGCTGCTATGAGCATAGTTGAACATGTCCTTGTGGTATGAATGTACATTACCTGGTATATGCCTAAGAGTAGTTTTGCTGGGTTTTGAGGTAGATTGACTCCCAATTTTCTGAGAAACTACCATACTGATTTCCAACATAGCTGTACAAGTTTCCACTCCCACAAGCAGTGAAGAAGTGTTCCCCTTACTCCACATCCTCTCCAGTATAAGCTGTCACCAGTGTTTCTGATCTTAGCCAATCTGACAAGTGTAAGAGGGTTTCTCAGAGTCACTTTGATTTGCATTTCCCTGGTGGCTAAGGATGTTGAACGATTTCTTAAATGTCTTTCCACCATTTGATTTTCTTCTGTTGAGAATTCTCTGTTTAGATCTAAACCCCATATTTTAATTGGATTATTTGGTATTTTGATGTTTAATTTCTTTATATATTTTGAATATCAGTCCTCTGTAAGATATGGGATTGGTGAAGATCTTTTCCCATTCTGTAGGCTGCCTTTACCTTATAGAACTCTTCCATTTCAGAAGGTCCCATTTATTGTTGATCTCAGTGTCTATGCTAATGGTGTTATATTCAGAAAGTAGTCTCCTGTGACAATGTGTTCAAGGCTAATTATCATCAGAGAGCCTTTATTCAGTAATTGATAGAAGCAGATGCAGAGAACCACAGCCTAGCACTGGGCTGAGCTCTGGGAGTCCAGTTGAAGAGAGGAGGAGGGACTGTCAAGCAAAACGGGACATGATCATGATGGGGAAACCCACAGAGACAGCTGACATGAGTTCATGGGAGCTCATAGACTCTTGACCAAAAGCTAGTAAGCCTCCATGGGACTGACATAGGCCCTCTGCATATGGAAGACAGTTGTGTAGCTTAGTCTGGTTGAAGGACTACTATCAGTTGGCTGAGAACCTGAACCTGGTGCATGAGATGACTTTTGGGAACTTATTTTCCATTCTTAGATACCTTGCTCAGCTTTGATGTAGGGAAGGAGCTTGGTTCTGCCTCAACTTGATATACCATGCTTTGTTGACTCCTATGAGAGGTCTGCCCCTTTCTGAGAAGTGGATTGGGGGGACTGTGATTGGTATATAAAATAAATGAAAACATTTAATAAAATAATAATGATGCCTGGAAAATGCCATTGTGTACGATAGTTATGCCAGTGTACATACTATCGTGTAGAAATGACAACCAGCTTTTCCTTCTAGATAAGATTTGCCTCCTGCCAATAACATAAGTATATCTTTCATGTTTCTTTCATTCACACAAAAGAAATTATTTGGACTGTATCTTTTATGTATATCTTTCAGGAGAAGAAAAGGAAAGAAATTAACTTCATTTTTCCATGATTTATGACCACTCTTTCTAAAATATTAGTGTTTATTTTTTAACCTTTCAGCACAAACTTGTAAGTGTACATAACAAAAAGATCACAAAGCTATTTTGAGGTTCAAAAGTATTAACCTTACATGGTTGTATAAAAAATACCCTCTAGAATGTCTTCGTTTTGCAAATATGAACTTTGTACCCATTAAACAACTTATTTCTCCCTTACCATTTAGATCACTATGGTGAAATGTCTAGTCGTGTCTCTTGTCCACCTTTTAGACAGTGTGTTTACTAAGTACTTGGAGTTATAGTTCCTTATATTCTGGATATTAAACCTTTATCATACAGATGGTTTCTAAATACTTTGTCTTGCTGTGCGGTGACCTCTTACTCATGTTTGTCCTTTGAAGCACAGAAGCTGTTCCTGTAATCCAATTTATCTATTTTAACTTTTGTTCCCTGTGCATTTGGTATTGTAGCTAAGAAATCATTTCTAAAGTACTTTTATACTTCTAAAGCAAAAGAAAAATGAGTTACAGTGGTATATAAGAATTTCATAACAATTGAGATAGGTAAGAAATACCAGATGTCCATATTTAAAAGACAAAATAAGCTTTTGTCACAACTCTATTCAGTGTCCTATAATAAAATGAAAAGGAAAGACATCAGCTTAACTTTATCATTACCTTGATGGCCAAGGCCTTGACACAAGAAATGAAAATCCTAAAACAAAGATGTTTTTCCCTATAGTTTTTGGTGTTCCAGCCCAAGAATTTTCCCTGAAGTAATAATGCAAGATATTGGAACATGGAAGAAAACAGCTTTTAAAACATTCTTTCACTGATTCTGAAGTGGGTTTTTGAGGAACATAGAATGTGGGGACTGAATAATGATTTTACTGAGGAAGCAGACAGAACAGAAAAGGGGTTCCAAAACTGAGAGGCTTTCATTTTGTGTTCTTGAATACTAAACCCAGACTTCAGTAACTCAACATGAAAACTGTGCTGGGCAAAGATCAAAGATCAGTAGATCAAAAAGGCAATGAAAACAGGTTCAGCTCATGTAAAATTATCTTATGAAAAGTATGTTGGTTTGCGGCTGAACTGAGTTTAAGAGATACATCCTTCATAGGCTCTCACCTGAATTACTGCTGAGAAGCAAACGGATGCCATTGTAGATCCAACTTACAACTTAAATGTCCAGCATATACATAGGAAATACATGTTCAGAATTCCAAATCTCTTCTTAGAGAGTAAGAAATATTAATCTTACCAGAAATCTGTATTATTATTAACCATCTATGAATGCACAATCATTTAAGTAGTACTTGGTAGTTATCACTATGCTTTACTTTCTGACTTTTTTAGTGGAAAAAGTTATTTACATGTGAGTTATTTAAGTGACTAAGAAAAGCCCACGTGTTCAATAAAAGAAAGCTATCAAAAATATTCATTCATACAATCACAAAAATATAAACTGAAAAATGTGAACTGTTTATATATGGATTAATAAGGCTTAGCTTCACATACATAATCATAAGATTATGAAGAACCAGGATACAAAACAATGGTACTCTGGCTACATTTCCATGAAGTTCTAGAAAACACAAGGAAACTAAGTCACTGTGGGGACCATCTGAAAAGCAGTTAAAGAGGGAAATTTCTACACTTCCTGACTTGTTCTGTATCCTAATAGGATCATGCAGCCCCATCACAAAATCTTCCCTTCAACCCACAACCTGTCAAGCCTGCAAGATGGTCTGGGACAATAGTGACTCAGAGCTTGTGTGTGTGGTCAACCAAGGACTGGTCTAACTTGAGGCCCAAGTCACAAGAAGGAGCCCATGCCTGACACTACCTAAAAAGCCAGGATCTGGAAACTGAGACCTAGGATAGAATCAAACAGGACTGCCCCCCCACCCAAAGAAAAACTAGAGAAATGATTCCTAACTCGGTTGTGCTGTACTCTTCCATGAATGCCTAGCCCAATTGTCATCAGAAAGGCTTCCTCCAGCAGCAGAGCATGGGTCTGTGCTAAGCCCTCTGCATATATGCTACGGTTGTTTAGCTTGTTTTTTTTCTGGGACTCCTAACAATGGGAGTGGGAGTATCTGACTCTTTTGTCTGCTTGTGGGAACCTTTTCCTTCTACTGGGTTGCCTCATTCAGTCTTGATATCAGGGTTTATGCCTAGTCTCATTGCATCTTGTTATGAGCTGTTCAATTGATATCACTGGGATACTTGATCCTTTCTGAAGGGAAATGGAGTAGCCCAGTGCTTTCTGGACACTACAGAGCAGTTGCAAAAACTCATAGTGGTTATGAAGCATGCACCAGACTGTGTCAGACAAAATTCTAGCATGTAGGTAAGAGACAAGCATGAGACTCCACCCATAATTAAGGAACTTCTGGGAATGAATACCTTCCACAGAGGGAGAGTGAGTGTTCTTTAAGGGTGTGACCCCTGATAGATCAACGATGTCCCAGTGGATGGTTCCACAAAAGAGTATGTATATAAGCAGCCCTAACTGGACTTGTTGAGTTTGGGTGTGTAGCAGGGGGATGAGAACACAAAGTTGGGTGGATATTGAATAGTAGTGAGTGAATGTGGGAGAAGTTGGAGGAGATGGAAATATGATCAAAATACAATGTATAAAATTCTCAAACAATATGTTTTAAACATCACAACATATCAAGAAGAGTTATTAATGTCTTGTTTGAAATCTTAAATTCAATAAAAGAATTAAAAATAATAAGATAACTATCAAGATTTGCACAGAGAGAAATGGAATGTAGGGCTAGTGACAGCAAACTCAGATCTCTTTTAATGAAAAACAGTTAATATTGTCCCTGGTTGATTAGTCAGAAAACTTAGGTAACTACATAATATTTATCTGTCATTGAGTTAAACTAGAAAGGAGCTAGAATATACTTAAAAGGACTCTCTCTCAAGGAGGAGTCTGAATTAGGGAAGGGGACTGCACATACATGTGCTATTTCACTATTTGATTCCTTTACCTTGTTAACATATTAATTAAAAATGCTAAAATCCTTGGTGTTTCCCAGATGTTACATTAAAGAGAATTCTTTTTCTAAATTAAATATGAATCACTAGAACTGTTTCCAGGTATATTTTGAAAATGATAAGTTAAAAATTACCATCAATATTTTCACCTGCAATTGTGATGCAAATTGGATATCATTATTACCTATGAGTGTCTCTGTGTGTTCCTGTGCTAGAGACATTACTGTGGAGGGATCACACTGGTATCCACTTCAAGAAGCACATTTTATGAAGAAAATATTGTAGGCAAATGCATGAATGTTTGTAGGGCAACATCCAAACCACTGTACTGATGGCAAGCACCACTGTACTGATAGCAAGGAAGAACAAACTTCCTTCTCAGCTAGAAGGATGAGTAAGGTGAATTTCTTCTCCATCAAAACAAGCCAAGACCAGAAGAGACAGAAAAATAGGTTCCAGGTGAGAATTCTCTCAGGGAGTTTTATATGACACAAAAGAAGGCAAAACACATTCATTTTCCTTTCCTCCCAGCTGCTCTAATGGCGTAAAGTGCTGCTGTCCTGCTCATATGCATCTGCTTGCAGACTGGCATCTGCAGTCGTTTGCCTCCAGGTGTTTGATAAAAGAAGATGCTGAAAGTCAATGCAAGCTGGAAGCCTTGCTTCCAGGAACAGGTGCTAGCCTGTAGAAACCTGCAGATCTATGCAAATATATTTTGAGAAATAAAGTTGAAATCAAGTTTTTAAAACAAAAATGTTGTGATTTAAAAATGGGAAATATTTATAGGACACTTTATGATTAGCACATGTTTAATAAAGCTTCTATGTGGTTCAAGAATAAAACCATGTGTTCCATTTCTTCTCAAGGAAGAAATGATCTGTCATTTATGCCAGACATTTTGTAGTTGCTATGACAACTGGACTAGATGCTGAGAACCTAGAGATCCCCAGGGGACAAATCCATTTAGGATGAAGCAACTTTGGAACACTCAAAGACTGAATGATGCTAAGAATGACTAAGGCATATTTTCCATATGGGACTTCTTCTACCTCGTTATTTTAATTTTATAAAATTGATGTAATAAAAAAGTTACATTAAAAATACCTGAGTGGCCTTATTTCTTGAAAAATGGTCCTCCAAAGAACATTCCCAAAATGGAATGGATTTAGCTTAGGGAGAATTAAACTAGATATGGATATCATTTCCATGTGTGACCTGGTTGTCCCACTGAAGGGGCTCTTTTGTTATCTCTTTAGTCTATCACAAGTCCTAGTATGGTTAATTAATCAAAAAGCACGATAATATTTAAATTCATACTTTGTTGCATATATTAATTATTTACATATCTACTCATGGTTACATAAATTGTTTAAAGAGTTAAAGTCATGCTAACAAAAAAACAATATCTTCAAGTTTTTAATCTATCTTTCATAATTAATAAACGTTAGGTCTTTTGGACAATACCAGATGTTATTTTTCATATGTTAATTCATATATACTATTATTCATATATCATATATTTTATATATTTATTTTTCATAATTTTCATTTATTTATTTATTCTACTAGCTTAGAGCAGGACAAAATATTCAAAGAAAGAAGATGCTGACGCTAACTTCAAAAATCCTCAGATATGATTAGGGTGATGGGACATATGTAAACCCATAATGTAAGCTGGCACACAAGTAAGGTATGCTAAGGTGTGAGACTCCAGAAGAACTGTGTCAATGCATGAGAACCTACAGGTTCATGAAGAAGATAGCATTTAAGAGAAAATAGTATTATAGCAAGTCTGAAATTTTTGATGCATGGTTCTTACTTTTTTACAAAGGAGTTAAATTAAGCAAGCAAATAACAATTTCTTTGCAATTAACCATTGCCAAAAGAGGAATGAGTCCTTATCAACATGAAAAATCAGACAGTAGGCCATGTAAGAATTGTCAGCATTCACTCATGTGATACTTTTGTGTCAACACAAAGAGAATCTATGGATAAACTAAAAATAAATATTATACTTTATAGGAGTAAAACAGTTGTATTGCTAACAGCATCTTGAATGTGCTAAGTATTGTATTTTAAGTATGTATTATCTCAAATACTTACCACAACAATTCTACTATTCTTACTACTTTAGAGTTGGGTAAATTGAGATATATCAACAAAGTGGTAAAGTTAGAATTAGAATGTAAGCACTTTGACCAAGAACCTGGAGGTCATTGATCTCCATTATTCTACAGTGGAAAAAATCCTACTGATAATAACAGAGTGGTCAGTAAGACTGGAATGAACCTAACAAGTAAGGATCTTAAAGAAAAACTTGCTAAATTAATAAAAGGCCATGCTAAAAGCTTTAGGAACTAAATAAGTATAAAACTTTAACAGCATGAAGACATTATTGATTCACAATTTATGTGTTGTTTCAGTAAAAATCCAATAAAAACATCAACTTTTAATTTACTAGTCTTACTCTTAAGTGTACATCTGGAGTGCACTAAGTCTACACTAACAGAAATACTTGCACATCTATGTTTAGGTAGCTAAAAATGGAGCCAGTGTTGATGTTCTCCAACATATGAATACATGTAGAAAATCTGGCATAAGCAAAGGGGTATTTTAGGAAGTCATAAGGAAATATGAAATCATGAAGAGTGCAAAAAAATGGATATAACTAGAATTCTTATGACAAGCAACTAAGACAGACTGAGAAACACAAATGCCACTTATTTTCTTTCATAGGCAGAACCTAAATTTAAAAGTTATTATATTTATGTGTTTATATGCGTGTGCATTTATACATTATATGTACATGTTCTGAAACTAGAAAAGGTATCATGAGAAGAAAGTCAGAAATATCAAGGGTGGGGAGATAGACAGTGGATACATGCAGGCACTTGAATCAATGAATCAATAAGAAGACAAACTAGAGAATAACTGGGAAAAGAAAAAGAACCAGTTAGGGGTGATCACATGGAAGGAGAGTGAGGAGGGTAATGGGAAAGGAGAATAAATGAAAACAAAGTACGCCATGATGAAACTTGTCACTTTGTGTGCCAAATTAATATATACAGATAATTTTCGGCTTATCTGTTCATCTAAAAGAAAGAGCAAAAAGTCAAGAATGGCAGGTACAAAATGGTTAAAATAAAATGGCATTTATATACAAAAATATATACATAGAGTAACAAAACAGAATCATGACCATCAAAATGACCACAAAAAGACTTAACA